ACCCCAATTCTGGTATGATATTTATATTGTTATTTATTGTTATATTTCTTCAAGTTTTAAGGGGAACTTGACGAGTCAGTAGCTGGACTCGTTGAGTAGGGTCGCGATTTCGAGCACGTTTAAGTTGGCGACTCGGCGAGTCCGCCAGTCTGGATGAAACCCTAATTTCAAGGGTTTGCACCCTATTTAAACAACTTTTAGGGCCTCTAGTCAGCCCCCATCACCCCTCAGAGCATCATTCTCGAAACCCTAGAGTCCTTTTTGCATTTTGTGTGATTTTGGTGTGTTCTTTGAAGATTTTGAGAGATAAAGGAAGGTAGATCAAGAGGAGAAGAAGGAGATCCTAGATCCTTGAGGAATTTCAGAAGAAAGTAAGGTATATCTTGGCCCTTTTCTATTTCTATGCTTAAATCTCCTTTGTGAAGCCATTAAAGCCATTCTTGAACCATTTCTTAGCTTAGTAGTAGCATAGAGGACTCATGGAATTGATTAACCTTCAGATCTAGCTAGATTTGATTTCCAGGAGCTTAGATCTAGCACCTTTATGGATCCATTTTGCATGAAATCTCTAGATCTACTATTATAGTGTGCTTTTAACCTTAAAACCTTCATTTGATGTTATTTACACGTAAAGTTGGAAACTTTACGTGTAAATCAAGTCCCAGGAACCCAGATCTATTAATTGCATGGACTAGTTTCAAGCAGAATCGAGTGTATAGTATTTGCATGCATACGACTCGACGAGTCGTTCTTCTTACTCGGCGAGTCGAGTCGCGAGTCCCCTGTGTTTCATTTTTTGAGTTATGCTTAGTGGAACCAGTGAGTGAGAGGTGGACTCGGTGAGCTAAAGGGTTAGACTCATTCGTGGAAGAACTCGGCGAGTCAATGCCCAGACTCGACGAGTCGAAGGCCATCTTCATACTTCAAGAATAGACTCAACGAGTTGTTCATACAACTCGGTGAGTCACAACTAGAATGATCATCTGATGAAGGAGAACTCGGCGAGTTGTTCATACAACTCGGCGAGTCGGATGCAGATTGTCGGAGTGTTAGTAGCAAAGAGGAACTCACCGAGTTTGCGCCAAACTCGACGAGTAGTAGCGAGTGGAATCAAGGAAGTAAGAGCAAGGACTCGACGAGTTGGCTGCCCAACTCGACGAGTCAGGTCAACTGAATGTTGACTTTATAGTTAGGTTGACTTGGACCAGGGGTAGGAGAGTCAATTTTCCCTCAGTATTATTATTATCAGTATTTGATTGATGGTGCTCATGGATGTTGTAGCCGGGGTGAAACCGGAGATGCATCAGATAGATTCCGGAGCAGTCCTTTCAACAGCTAGGCTACGAGGTGAGTTTCCTTCCAGTAGGAATGGGTCTAAGGCCACAATACCGGCCCATTTAGTTAGTAGTAGTTTCCGGACTTCAGTCCGATGCAGTTGTTAGTGTGTTTGATGCCTTTGTGGCTCAGACAGGATTTATGTGTTATGTGTTCTGGGCTACAGCCTGACGTAGTATGCAGTATATGGGTTTATGATGATGTGTGTTATGCTAGTTGATATGTGTTTATGCTATGCTATGATTAGTTAGTTCCGGACTTTGGTCCGATGCAGTAAGTTCCGGACTTCGGTCCGATGCAATTAGTTCCAGACATCGGTCCGATGCAGGGAACAAGGTCCCAGTTAGTTCCGGACTACGGTCCGATGCAGTTTCCGGGCTTCGGTCCGATGCATTGGGCAAGGCCCAGTACGTGTTTATATGATATTGTATGGTATGTGGTAGTTTGGGGGAGCTCACTAAGCTTCGTGCTTACAATTTCAGTTTTGGTTTCAGGTACTTCCGCAAGTAAGGGGAAGAGCTCGGGATGATGGCATCGCACACACCACAGCTTCAGTCTTTATCCTGGGAGTTTGTTTTGATTCGTAGTTTGATTTGATACAGTTGTTTCACGACATTTTATTATGAGTTGAGATATTTGACGTATGGTTTTTATGATATGACAATCAGTATATGGTTTTTATTACTATTTAAACGAAAAATTTTGGGTTGTATTTTGGGATGTTACATGCTACTCGGTTGTAGCGTCTTGAACCATGTGTTGGCGTTGCCGTCAAGTGTAGTTGGGAAATACGTGCACCAAAACCTCTCATTAAGCTTTAATGACGTCATGGTCCATTCATATGTGTCGATGTGGCTATCCGGGTCAGTGGTTCCGTTATATGTCTTGAGCGTCGGTAGTTTGGCTGTGTTTGGTATTTCGTAGTCCAACAATTCTTTGACAAACGGAGACGTCACACTACGGGAAAGGCATTCGTGGCCTGGGGTGGTGGAGGCTCCTAACTGATGGTATTGTGTGTTTAAGCCATATGGTGGCGGTGTGTGATAGCCAGGGCTTGGTTCGTAAAAGGGGTACATCTGGAATGGTAGTTGGAGGGTGTAACTAGAGGGAAAAGGGTGTATAGGGGTGATAGGGCTAACCGTTGTTGTCTGCTATAAGTTATTGTTGGTGGTGATGGTTGGTCCGGTCCATGTGTTAGCCAGTGAATAGACAACTGGCGTATGAGCTATCATGGTTTGCGCCAACGGTGGCACTAAAAGCATTGAACTCTGTCCGCTCGTCACCTGGTACAACGGTGTCACTGTAAACGACGGTGGGATGTTGAAAACGTGTCCTGGTGGAAGCATCGCTGAGTGAACCGGTTATGTTTGTTGCAATGACGGCATGAAGAATGGTGGCATCTAAAAGGATGTTGTTGGAAATGGCCCCACCGGAGTTGTCATCATTTAATTTCTCCACTTGTAAAACAACAATAAACATAAAATTCGAGGTTTTAATCTTTTAGTTGTTTTAAAGAAACTAAGTTATCATAAAACTTGAAATTTTAATTAAAAAATAAAATAGTTTGGTTCAAATCAATGAGAGAGAGAGAGAGAAAGAGAAAGTTGACATTGGCCTTCACCAGATGGATATCTAGTTAACTTATCATTATATATTTAATTTCTCTTACGAGTGTTTTTACAATGAGATTTTATAGTCACAAATTGAACCAATCTACATGGATTCTATCACCTTGTCATTATACACTTTCTAGTGTGCAACTTTTAGGGTTATTTATTTGTTGGCCTCGACAACCACCACTACAGACTCACGATATTACAAAAAAAAAGTCTCTAATATTCGAATGTTGGCATGAGTCTGCAAGAACCTTTTGCAGACTCGTTGATATTTTTGAAAAATATTATTTTTGTTACTTTTTGGCACTTGTACGTGTCATTTAGGACGTGTTCATTATGCAGTTTTTTAGAGCTTCTAAATTCTAAGTTTTAAAAAAAAGTTTGAAAAAAAAGTTTTGTTCAACAGTAGGAGCTTTTAGCTTTTGGATTAAACAAAAAACTTCAAATCCAAAAACTATTTCAACTAGTGTTTAACAAAAACGATCTTTTAGATTTTAGCAAATTGACTGAAGTACCATTTAAAATAAATAAATTATATCCATACTTTTGGTAATTATGTTATATGACAAAATATAAATATATTTAAACAATTACTATATATTTATTTGAACCTAGCTCTCTCTTTATCTCTCTCTCTTTATATATATATATATATATATATATATATATATATATATATATATATATATATATATATACTTTAACAATTATTTGAAACAAAATAAGATTATGTTTGACATACTAAATACTAGCTGAAAACACAACTGTTAACTGATAAGTAGTATTTTAAAAAACTAGTTTATCCGTTACTTTTTGACTAGTCAAAACATTACCATTTAAATAAGTTCAAAAAAATTTGTGGCACGTCAAATCCACATTTATGTCATTTTATATTTTTGGTTAGTTTATTAATTAGTTTTTTACCGACATCAAAAAACCTTATTTACTTTATTTGTAAAAGAACCATCACTATTAATATGCATAAAAAGGTTTTTACCAATTGAAAAACTTAATCACAACACTATGTATTCAAATTTGAATGATTTTTAATTTTCGAGATATTTATAGTTTAGAAAAATTAATTTAGTATCATTATATTTAATTTTACTTTATATTCATAATTTCATATATGTTTTATGTGATTTTATATATTCAAAAGTTTTTAACGTTTTCGGTTATTACGAATCACTTTGGTACTAACTACCTATTATCAGTTACAACTTTAGAATATCTCCAATGGTAAACATACCTTATCACTTAAAAAATTTGTCATCTCATTATTCTAATACTTTTGACCTCTAATTAAATAAACCCTCTAATGGTTAAACTTTTTTAATAGTTTTTTATGAATTTTACTTATTGATCACCATCTATCTAAATTGTTCATAAAAACTTTCTTACTTAATTAGTTATTTTTAAACATATTATACTTTAATATGAAATATTTTAAATTAAGGTTACCTAGAGATGCACAAAACCCGAATGCGATCCGGTCAAAATCCGAATCTGATTCTAATCCGGTTTAAACCAATTTTAATGGGTTTTAAGCGGATTTTGGGACGGATTTGGATCCGGTTTTTAGCAAATCCGAATTGAAATATAGGATTAGGATCCGATTGAAAATCCGGTTTTGAATCCGATCCGATCCGGTTTGGTTAAAACCGGTTTTGAGCCAATCCGGTTTCGGATTGTAAAACAAGCTCTGAAAAGGGTTTTGAATGGTCAATACTCAATATAATACCTTGCAAACAACTTTTATCTAACGCCTCCTTATTTTTTTGATAAAAATCTCTTGAAAATTTAACCAACCCCGTTAATTTCGAGTTAAATTCGGTTAATTGGATAACTTTTTATGCGTCTTTAATATACATTTGGTCAGTTCTCCTCTAACCACTAAAAGTTCTACTTCTATCCTTAGCTTGGGGAAGATACCGACACCTCTTAAAACCAATTTTCAAATTTGAAAGTTAGGATTCAAATTAGAATATGTTACAAAAATGAAACTGTAAATGTTACAATTTTATACTAATCGATTTCTCAAATATAAGAATGGCTCTTGAATTATTAATTGTTCTTCTACCTACTACTTAGTAATTCCTGTAAGTCAACGTTTCGTCCTACGATGAACTTCTCAACCGAACACACTAAACCACACTGGAGCCTACGATTTGAGTTTCGGGCAACTGGAGGTTTCCTTATGCTGCTTCATCTTCCTTCTGAATAACCAAAGGTTTGCTTCGATTATCTTGTAATTTTAATGATTTTATCGTTTTTAATTTCCAATCTAAGTCTCTTACACTAATTACGGATCCGTATAGAATCTTCTCTATAAGTGCAATTGATGTCATTGTATATTAATCAATGATCTGGTTGACTTGCATACTTTTGATTGTTTGCTGGGTATTACTTTGAAGTTGTTGGCAATGATAGGAAAATGTCTAACCATTTCTGTGCGTATATTAAACAAGTTCAAAACTATTGGAAAATAACAGCGATGTCAAAGATTATGTTGTTAAAACTTATTGTATTTTGATGTTTGTGTTGCAGGTTTGTAGAAATGGCAGACTCTGATGATATTCAGCCCATTGTATGTGACTTTGGAACTGGAATGGTGAAGGTTAGCTTAATAATTATTTTGTTCCTATTTCATATTTACATGAAACCTTCTTGAGTTAGTTGTATTCTTATACTTTGAATTCGAATGTGGGATAAATGCTTGTTTTCGCAAAGACAATATTTTTTTTTTCAGTTATGCAACAAATTATTGTTTTGGACTACAAATGCAAATTCTTTCATTCTATTACCAACATTATCCAATATTTACAGTGTGGAGCAAGAAAATTTTCCATATGGGGGTCAATTTCTTTGGTTAACATATCTTATATCATTAAGGGCCTTTAGGACTTTTCACTTCTGGTTTAGGTGAGAGGGAAAAAAGTTAGTTAGCATCTTGGATCTATTTCTGTTAGAGTGAAAGCTAAGAGTTCCATTTTTAATCATTTCAAGTTTAATCATTTGATTTCTTGTACATCCGTAACAGTTCCAACTTACTAGAAAAACACCCAAGTTCTGATACAAATATGAAATCAAAACAACATAAGGAATTGCAATAACATGTATCTGGCACTCTAGCAGTGAGTATTAGTTTTTGTACTCTTAGAAATCCTACAACTGTACATTTTTCTTTCTTTTTCTATGAATTCAAGGAAGATAATTGTATTTTTAACCCTACAACAATTTAGCTTCGCTTAGTACCCCCATGCTGATCAGCCACTGGTGGGTCCATGATTCGTGTTAGTTGCATAAATTCATAAAAAGTCAAATATTATTGCATTAATTGGTAAGAAACTGAAACATTTTTAAATAAAGAAGCATTTAACAGGGGCCAAGTCATGAGGTATGCAGTTATCATGTTGCATATATTGTCAAAAAGGCAATTTTAATCCGTAAAATGGGTATAAGGTTACTCAAACTAGAGTTCATTTTGTACTTTAACTAAATTTATAGGCGGGTTTTGCTGGTGATGAAGCTCCTAAGGTGGTGTTCCCCAATATTGTGGGTAGGCCTCGTCACACTGGTATTATGGTGGGCATGGACCAGAAGGATGCTTATTTAGGAGATGAAGCCATGTTAGAAAGAGGTATGCTGACTTTGAAATACCCAATTGAGTATGGTATTGTCAGCAATTGGGACGATATGGAAAAGATTTTGCATCACACTTTCTTTAATGAGCTCCGTATTGCTCCCGAAGAGCATCCTATGCTTTTGACTGAGGCACCATTAAATCCCAAAGCAAACAGAGAGAAGATGACTCAAATTATGTTTGAGACCTTCAATGTTCCGGCCATGTACATTGAAATTGGCTCCGTGCTTTCTTTGTACGCAAGTGATCGTACAACTGGTTAGTTTCACATTGCTCTTTTGGTATATTTTGCATTTTGATATCGGGAAAATGGTCTTAACAATGGACCTAATTATTTGAGAAATTTTTGCAATCACATTGACTAATCTCCAAAGCCACCGTCAATTATACCCACGCTCTCCATAAAGTTTAATTCACACCTTTCTACAATCAATTATAGTGTTTGGTATGATGGATTGGGCTCATGCTCATTCCATTTGAATAAGAGAACTCAATGGAATAGAGTAGGCCATTTCTTTTTTCCTTTAGTTTAAACTCATCTTTTTTACAGGTGTCATGTTGGATTCCGGAGACGGTGTTACGTACACGATCCCAATTTACAATGGTTATCTACTTCGCCGTGGCATCCTCCGTCTTGATCTCGCTGGTCGTGACCTCACAGATAACCTAATGAGAATCCTGACCGGAAGAGGCTACATGTTCACCACAACAGCCGAATGGGAAATTGTCCGTGACATTAAAGAAAAGCTCGCATACGTGGCTCTTGACTACGAGCAAGAACTCGAAACCGCAAAAACTAGCTCCTCTGTTGAAAAGAACTATGAGCTGCCCGACGGGCAGGTTATCGAGATTGGGGACGAGAGATTCCGCTGCGCAGAGGCTCTCTTCCAGCCACATATGATTGGATATGAAGCTGCTGGTATTCATGAGCTGACCTACAACTCGATCATGATGTGTGATGTTGATATGAGGAAGCATCTTTATGAAAATATTCTGCTCAGTGGTGGGTCAACCATGTTACCGGGCATTACTGACCGGGTTATCAAGGAAATCACAGCCCTTGCTCCTAGCAGCATGAAGATCAAGGTGGTTGCGCGTCCCGAGAGGAAATATAGTGTGTGGATCGGCGGATCAATCCTTGCATCTCTCAGCACCTTTGAACAGGTAAATGGAAACCCTGATAAAGTGTTGACTGGATGAATGATGTTTAACTAGTGTTTGACAAAATGACTAACGAGGGAAAATTTGTAAAATGTTGACTTAATCGGGAAAGTATTTGGTCCTTACTTTCTTTGTTAAGTCTCTTTCGGCAATAAGTCAAAAAGAAGCATCTATATATAGCTTACCGTCCTGATTAAGTCTATCTGGATAAATGATTTAAAAAAATTACGGCAAATTGCTCAGAATAGCAACATATTTTAATTTCAATACCAATATGGGCAGTTTACTTTAGTTTTTACTCATAATAGCAACGTACTTATATTCTTTTTAACCATACAGCAGTGTATGTACATCTTTTTACCAATAATCATGTTGCTTTTCTTATACTATTAATAGTATCGTACTTTTATGTATTGTTAGGTAACGATATTGAAATGTAAATACATTGTTTTTATGGGTAAGGAGTTGTAATTACATGGCACTTTGTGTGGTCCATTAATAGTATCGTACTTTTGTGTAATTACATGACTAACGAGGTAATAACGTATTCGACTAACTAACTTTTCTTTTGTTCAAATCAGATGTCGATAACAAAGGCCGAGTATGATGAGTGTGGTCCATCTATAGTCCACAGGAAATGCTTCTAATTACCTATTTTGTTTTTGTTTTATATATTTTTAGCTATTTTCCATGTTATGTTTCATGTGATGTAAGAAAGGCACACATGGACATATGTGGAGTTGTTGGTTGTTAACAAACAAGACGATATACACTATTTTCATTCATTATTAATTAGTTTAAAATTTTGGGGAAATGGAATGACTTCATGATATTAACTGTACAAGTCAAGTAAAGTTGTATAATAGATTCATTATTGCAAGATAACATCTCCGTTGGTCTGAGTTTATGTATGTTTTAGTGTGCATGTGGGAATGTATATGTGGAGGTAGAGTTTATAAATATTTAAAATATATTAAACTTCATAACTGGTACTTTTGGTTTCGCATATTCTAGGTTTTATTTTTCTATCTTTTTTCGTCTTCATAAAATGTCCATTTAGTTTCAAATTGCAATGTGGTTAGCTATGTCCCATACGAAATGACTTATTTAGCTTTTTTAATTTCTTTTATATCTTTCTTTTTGATTAGTTAGTATTTATATTAATTATTATATAATTATTAAAATAAAAAATATTTATCACCATTACCACCATCATTCACAACCACCGTCTAGCACCATCAATACTGTCCCCACTACTAAAAACTCTATAAAAAGATGGAGGGAAGAATTTGATCACTTTAACAAAAAAAAAAAAAAAACCTACATTTAATTTCCAAAAATAAAATGAAGTCTAATTTAATTTTGATTTCAGCAACAAATTCAAAAGCCCAAATTTCAAGAAACCTTAATATGTTTGCTTGCCTTTTGTAGATAATATATATATATATATATATATATATATATATATATATATATATATATATATATATATATATATATATATATATATATATATATATATATATATATATAGAGGTTCAGGTTCATTTGAGACCATTCTAATTTTGTGAGACCGTGAGACCAAATCTAAAAATAATTTTAAAGTGCAAAATAAATGGAAAAATCCAAAAATTCTTTTTTTAAATATTATTTTCGGAACTTGAATTAACTAAAAAAAATAAAATAAAATAAAATAAAAAATAAAAAAAATAAAAAAAATTCCGGTTTTTTTTTTTTTTTTTGAAAAATACGTGAAATATTTTAAATAGAATATTACACTGATATATTCTAAAAAATGATTTTAAAATGCAAAATAAATGGAAAAATCTAAAAATTCTTTTTTTAAATATTATTTTCGGAACTTAAATTAACTAAAAAAATAAAAAAAAAATAAAAAAAATTCTATTTTTTTTTTTAAAATACGTGAAATATTCTAAATAGAATATTGCACTGTACATATTCTATAAATAATTTTAAAATGCAAAATAAATAGAAAAATCAAAAAATTCTTTTTTTAAATATTATTTTCGGAACATGAATTAACTAAAAAAAATTAAAAAAAAAATAAAATAAAATACAAAAAATAAAAAAATGCGTCTCACGGTCTCACAAAATATAAGTGGTCTCAAATGAACCTAACCCTATATATATATATATATATATATATATATATATATATATATATATATATATATATATATATATATATATATATATATATACGCCAATGATTATTCTCTTCCTCAATGAGGAAGGTTTGTTATAGAAACTAGATTATACACCTTTATTGTTGATACAAATCCCCTAAATAGAGATAGTTTGTATATATGGATATCAATTGTATCATTGTGAAGGGGACAGAAAATACAACGTGTTTTATGGTATCAGAGCAAGAATACCAAAAACCCTAAAAAGTCCATCTTCTCCATTCTGCTGCCCCTATTCATCTTCTCCATTCTTCGCAATTCTTCTAACAACCATCTATTCTTCAATGGATCCTAATAATCACCCAGCCATCACAGTAACCAACACTCAGAACTTCATTCCTTTTACCCTTGAGATGGAAAATAGACAGTACACCTCTTGCGCAGAATTATTTCATATCCACTATCGGGCCTTTCAAGTTGGTAATCACATCGACTCTGACTTCAAGCTACCTTCCTCATCTCCATCTTTTGCTACAGCTACTGAGGCTCAGAAAACCAAAGTTGCTGCTGAATATGAAACATGGTAACGCCTTGACTCCATCATCCTCCAATGGATATATGGGACCATTTCAAATGATCTTCTACACACCAATCTGAAACCTAACACCTCTGCATCGCAAGCTTGGACTGCCCTTGAAAACATTTTTCAAGACAACCAAAGCACCCGAGTTGTCTACCTTGATAGTAAATTCGTCTCCATGAGACTTGCTCACCATCCCAACAGCTCTTCTTACTGTCAAGATATGAAGATGTTAGCTGACCAACTAGCAAATGTTGACAATCCAGTCTCTAATCAACGACTTGTTCTACAGGTCATTGTCGGCCTTAAGGAAAGCTACGAAGGGTTGGCCATGCTCATCCAACAAACTGATGGATTTTGAGCATTCTAACACTTCCTAAGTGTACATGCAACCCTAATAACCTTGGATCTATGTTTGTCTAATTGTCATGCAAAGTTGAATTCCAAGGTTATATTCCTATCTAGCATACATGGGGAACAATTTTAACATTAAGTATAGATAGAATAACTTACCTTGTTGTTGCTTGTGTTCCTTGAAACCTTGTGAGCCTAGCACCCCAAGTGTGATGCCTCAAATGCTTCACACAACACCAAATGCTCTTGGAAGAACTTATGAGAGAATACTCACTTCTTCAAAATCGGCCAAGCCCTCTTGATTCTTAGTGTAGCCGATTTTGGGTGGAGATATGTTACTTATATAGTGTTGACACATCTAGGGTTAAACCCTAATGTGTCATGACTCTTCATTTCCATGATCCATGGGTTTGTAACTCCCATGGAGCATCCATGGAGCATCCTATGGGTGGAACCCAACTTGATAGTCCATGGAGCCTTTTAGCCCACTATACAAGATATGGATGATTTACATAATCAACCCATATATTTAATTAGTTATCTTTTGATCACTTAATTAATTCTAAATTAATTCTTGATCAAACTAATCAAATAATATTATTAATATATTAGAACTTATAATATATTAATAATCTCCAAGTGTTATTTCTCTCATTTAGTCTATCCAATTGCATGGTGCCATGCAACCCAAATGGACCATGCCGGGTCGGGTCAAGTACATACCAGAAATAGTTATGGACTTAGACACCTTATCCAACAGTCTCCCACTTGGATAAGTCTAATAACTATTACTGCAAGTATGACTTCAGGAACCGATCGGCAATCGTAGCTCTTTTCAAGGTTTCTCGAAACTGAGAAGATGATGGTACGCCATTTAAGATAAGTGATCATATAATCCTCTGTTCTAGATATCAGTCGGACAAATACATGGAACAATGTCTTACTTATTGTCCAACATTTGTTTCCCGATTTCCGATTTGTTTGACAAAGAACTTATTGAACACATCAATTTAGTTCTGACCGGGCCCGGTACATAGGTCAAAACAAAATCATCGAGGGGCCCAGATATCAGCTTCTAATCCAAGAAGGAACAGATAAACTTCGACTCATATGTTTGTTCTACTACTCATTGAATTACACATAAGAGCACGATTTTATAACATCGAGTTACCAATGCGTTTTTCGTACAATCAATGCATAACCAACTTGTAAGTAACAAATCATATCTCTAGGTTTAAAGACTTATATGATATTACCGTCTCACGATCACTCGAGATAGAATTCCATGAAGTGATTCCAGTGAGCGTGGGTTGAGTCCAATGCTCAGAACTTATGAGCACTCATGATTGTTGTAGCCTTGTCCCAGACCTCTACAACCAAACATGACAGTCTTGATTCATACCTACTTCCGACATATGACCGACTGTGGAGGTTTGAATAATATGTTATACCAAACAAAATTATTCTGGAAGTCAAAACATGCAAAAGAAATATAGTAAACGATCGACAAGAGATAGCAACACTTTACTCATAAATAAAACACTTTTATTCATCATCAAATGTCAATTACACTTTACAAATTTCGAGTTATCTAACTACTAAATCTAATATCATCCTTCAGCCCTATGCTCCGAGCATGCTGGAGATGCTTAACCCGAGTCAGTCCCTTCGTGAGGGGATCTGCCGGATTCTCATCTGATGATACCCTCTTTGCCACGAGGAGTCCTTCTTCGATCCGATGTCTGATGAAATGGTATTTTCTGTCGATGTGTCTGGATCTCCCGTGATCCCTTGGTTCCTTGGCTAAGGCAACAGCACTTTCACTATCACAGAAAATTTCCATTGGCTCTTTAATAGCTGGTACAACTCCAAGGTCTCCAATGAAGTTCCTCAGCCATAACGCCTCCTTTGCCGCTTCGCTAGCTGCAATATACTCTGATTCACAAGTAGAATCTGCCACTGTCTCTTGCTTGGAACTCTTCCAAGAAATTGCTCCTCCATTTAGGGTAAAGACCCAGCCCGACTGAGAGCGGAAGTTATCCCTATCAGTCTGGAAGCTAGCATCACTATACCCTACAACTCTCAAGTCATCACTCCCACCGAGGGTAAGGACCCAGTCCTTAGTCCTTCGTAGGTACTTGAGAATATTCTTTACCGCAGTCCAGTGTGCCTTGCCAGGGTTCCCCTGAAACCTGCTAACCATGCTCAAGGCAAAGGCTACATCAGGTCGAGTACACGTCATAGCATACATGATCGAACCTACAGCCGAAGCATAAGGTACTCGACTCATTTCTGCTATCTCAGCCTCAGTGCTAGGGCTTTGTGTCTTACTCACTTGGCGCTACTCTGGATGGGCAACTCTCCTTTCTTGGAGTCTTGCATTCTGAATCTCTTCAGAACCTTCTCCAAGTAGGTACTTTGACTAAGTCCAATTAGTCTTTTACTCCGATCTCTCAAGATCCTTATCCCCAAAATATAGGCAGCTTCACCAAGGTCCTTCATAGCGAAACACTTTCCAAGCCAGGACTTTACTTCCTGCAGGGTTGGAATGTCGTTTCCTATGAGTAGTATGTCATCCACATACAATACCAAAAAGCTAACTATACTCCCACTAGCCTTGACATATACACAAGATTCATCTTCACTCCTAGAAAAGCCAAATTCCTTGACCTTTTCATCAAAGCAAAGATTCCATCTGCGAGGTGCTTGCTTTAATCCATAAATGGATTTCTCAAGCTTACACACTCTATTAGGGTACTCGTTGCTGACAAAACCCTCTGGCTGACTCATGTAAACATCTTCAGCCAACTTCCATTAAGGAAAGCGGTTTTGACATCCATTTGCCAAATTTCATAGTCATGAAATGCGGCTATGGCTAACAGAACCCGAATAGACTTAATCTTGGCTACCGGAGAAAAGGTCTCATCATAATCCACTCCAGGAATTTGAGAGAAGCCCTTTGCAACCAGTCTAGCCTTATAAGTGTGTACTTTACCATCCATGTCGG